CTCTCTCTCTCTCTCTCTCTCTCCCTCTCTCTCTCTCTCTCTCTCCATACAGGCCCTTTGGGTATATTATGGCTTCCAGTTTAGTGTTTTTATGAGATTCCTAAGTGTTTGAGCAAGTGGTTCTCTGTGTCTCTCTGTTACTTGCACCTTTTCTTGGGCTTTTTTCCCTTCTGTTTGTTTGTTTTGTCCTATTCTGATGTGCTAAGTTTTTGTTTGTTTTGTTCTGTTTTGTTTTACAATTATCCTTTTAGAAGTCTAAAGGATGGATCCAGATGGGAGGGGAGGTGGGGAGAAATTTGGAGGAGGAGAGGGAGGGGAAACCATAATCAGGATATATTATGTGAGAAAAAAATCCTATTTTTTGATAAGGAAAAAAATTCTTTGCAAATCAGCCCAGTGTAGGGGAGGAGCCATGTTGGCTGCCTTCTCTTTCATTCCATGGTGCCCTTTCCTATTAATGACTCTTTCATGGTAATTCTATTTGTTGCCTTAATTTATTTTCTGTTTTCTTTTAAACAGTATTATTGTTGTTGCTGTTGCTGTTACTGCTGTTTCATTTGAGACATGATTTCACTATGTTGTCCTGGCTTGCCTGGAAATAGTTATGAAGACCAGGTTGGCACTGGACTCATAACCCCTGCCTGCTGGGTACAGGCATTTAAAAGATTTATTTTCACTTGTGTGTATGTGTATGTGTGTGTGAGTACATGTCACATGTGTGGGGTGCCTACTGAGGCCAGAAGGCATCTTATTACTTGGTAAGAGTGAGAGGTGGTTGTGAGCTGCCTGATGTGGGTACTAGGAACTAAACCAGGGTCCTCTGGAAGAGCAGCAAGTTCTCTTAACTTCTGAGGTACCTCTCCAAGCCCCTAATTTCACTTTTCTTAGAGCTTTTTACTATTGTATTATTTCTCTGAAATAAAGGCTAGGAGAAAAATAGACACAACCAACAAGACTGGGAGGAGAGGCCTTGTCTATGTGTTTAAAGCAGATGTTGATGTTGGCTTAAGGCAATTCCTCTTGAGTGGATAGTCTCTTATGTTACAGACATTCATTCATTTACTTTTTTAAAATTTTGCTTTTCAAGACAGATTGGAAAGGCTCTTCTATGTTGTCATGGCTTGTGGTTTAGTTCTTGAAGTCTTGATGAGGTGAATCTACACTATACTGCGTACTTTTGCATATCTATAATTAACATGGCACCGGACTTCTAAAGCACCCCCACCCCCACCCCATCATCTGCCGAAAGTGATTACTGGCTTGAAGTCTCATCTGCAGCACCATTGACATTTGGGCTAGGTAGTCCCTTTTTGTGGAAGGTGGAAGCTATCTGGAACATTGTATTGTATTTGGAGGTATCCTTGTATGACACTAACAGATGTTCATAGCATTCCTTAGTTAGGACAACCAAAGCTATCTCCCACCATTGCCAAATGTCCCCTGGAGGAAGAACAAAATTGTCTCTGTTGAGACCCACTCATTTAGAGTTATTTTGGGGTGTATTCAAATATTAAATATCTTGAGACTAAGAGTTTATGAATATAATGATTATGTCTTGAGCTAAATTTCTTCTGTGGAGTGACAGGGGAGGACAAAATTTATTTGACTTTTGCTTTGTCAGTGAGCTTTCTTAATACAACTGTAGTATTGGTTTGAATTTGGTTCTTCATCCAATTTGAATTACCAAAGTATGAGAAGCCATAGAATAAAGAGTATATATGCTAAGTTTGTAGAGCAATGCATGTGTTGGGGTGGGCTGTGATAATGGATAAGTTGTACTAGCATAGTAACTGAAGATAATTCCTGATACAAAACACACATTCCCAAATATTTGTTGAATAGATGGACAATGGATAAAGAGACAGATGCATGAAACATCTGCTCTTGCTGACCTATTTACTGGGAACAGTGTTTTATCAGTACTGTACAGAATGGTGACAAAGTGTCAAGAAATGCTGTCTTGGTCTAGAGCTTTTTGGAGTCAATCTCATTCTTCTGTGTGCCCCTCCCCAGAACCTGCCTGGCCCCTTTCACTGCCATTTCAAACCCTGTCCCCATTTTTGTTCCTTTTCATGCCACATATCTCCTTTTATCTTTAGAGTCTGAATGAATTTTCCTTGAGTGGATTTTTCTTAACTTTCATGTTAGATCATTTCTTTATATCTGGCTCTGTGACATCATGGGGGAACATGCCCACCATGTTTGACTGTGAATTGCATCTGGGTATTTCTAGTGATTTCTGCTTAATCTTTCTTCTTTAGTTATTTCTGTCAAACTAGTGACAGGGTTCCTAACCTTTGCAAAGAACTTCCCTTTGGTTTTCTAGAATTATTGTATTCCTTTGGTAAATTATTCTAGAACAATCCAAGTCTTCAATGAACAGAATCCACTCTGGTAAATGTGGCTGGTTGATGGATTTCATGTCTAGTGCTCACAATGGTTTTAAAGATTCAGTAATGAAACATATTTTCTCCATTTTATAATTCAAAAACTCAATTTTGAGATGAAAGATATGGTAATTAATCTGATTGGTTCATTATGTAATGTATATGTGTATTGAAATAGCACATATACCCCACAAATTTGTATAAATATTGTATATAAATAAAAATAAACTAAGGTGGGGTATGTGGCTCAGGGCTGGAGTTCAGACTTTGTGTGCTTGAATTGCTGGGTTCAATCCCAAGCAGGTCCCAAAATCAAATCAAATGAAATAAATCATGACCCATACTTGTTAAGACACAGAACGAAGTGTTTCCCAATGAAGAGTGCTATGAGAGCCCAAGTCACTAGACTCAATCTGTTGAACCAAAGTGTAAAGTGAGATAGAGGCAGAACAGATAATTTGATTTTAAAATCAATTTCATCTATTCTAATGAAAGCAAAGACATTTTCTTTACATTTTGTTGTAAGTTTAAAGAAATAACTATAGTGGGTGACTGCTTCATGGTACCATATGTTTGATTCATGGAGTACTCTCTCTCTCTCTCTCTCTCTCTCTCTCTCTCTCTCTCTCTCAGACCTTCTCTGACCATGCCCCATAGGAATCTGACAGGGAGCTGCAATGTTAATTGTGGTTGTAAAATACACGAATATGAGCCAGTCTGTGGATCGGATGGAATCACATACTTCAACCCATGCCTGGCTGGCTGTGTTAATAGTGGCAATCTCAGCACTGGGGTAAGTATTTTCCACAACTCTCTCTTCTACTGTTAAGCCAACACCCTGAGGCGAAGATGTGATGGGACTCACATGCACCCATGATGACTTGTTCATCAGACTCCAAATAGCCCCTCTGAAAAACACGTTATGAGAGGCAAATTGTGCAGGGCTATCACTATTGTCAGGGCTGCTGGGAGAAACTGGGGGTAGATAGAGGACCAGAAGACTCTCACCAGCTGTCTCCTACTTTACGTCTATGCCAACTCAGGGAAACTTGATAAGGCTGGGCTCCGGACTTCCATTTGTTCCTCTGGCAGGGTCTTTGTAACAGATTTGAAGGTCAAGGTGACTAGAGTCAGTGCTGAAAAAAGAGACCAGAGACTGTGGAGGCTGGTTCTCTAACTGGTGTCTGTGGAGATGGGTGATAGCCATTTTTCATAAGACTCTCCATCAGTTCACCCCCAACCCTTAACAGAGTAAAGATATTACTGTCAGCTGAAGAAAAGTCTATTTTGAGAATTCTCTTCCCTGTGAATTATAAATAGGCTTTAATACTGTGGGAGAAGGTTTTCATATTTCACTCTATTCTTTACTGAGCCCAGTTTGGCTGTTGGCATGAGAACAGATTGGAGGCGATTGCCCTAATTTAAAGGTTAAAATGCATTTGCCTGTTCTGTGCAGGTTCTAGAGACTATACCATTGGCCTAGGCACCACTTTTGTTTTCTGAGTTTGAAATCAGAGGGTAAGTTGGAAATTACTATGACATAGTTGGTGAGCTCTGGAGTGTGACCCTATTGAGTTCATGAGATTGTTTCTTAGCAGAGATCCATCCAGTGTTGTATGGTAGTGAGTGAGACCTCATGGGCACACTGCTTTTTTTATTGTAAAGACTGGAAGTCCTTCCTGCTTAAATGGTCAACCCCCCACCAATCTGTTCTAATTACTGTTTTAAGCAGTCACCATGAGAACTAGTTCAGCTAAATTTCCATTTAGTAAAAAGCAAGATACCAGGCAAAGAGATACTTGATCATATTGCTATTTGTTAGCTTGTTTGGGTACTGAATGAGCAACACCAAGACACGTTTCATTCTCATCATTGTCTTTGTGTTCAATAGAAGTCTGGGAAGTTACTGGAGAAGATTTAGTCTCCCTGTTCCTCTGTCTTCGGTGCCCTCTAATGGCATGCCACACATCAGTAGGGATTCATCGATACGTGTTTTGAAAAATGAACAAGTGATGTTGGGCATAGCAGGGTTTTTAGACAGCTGGAGTCTGCCCAAGTCCAGAGCACTGAGCTGAGACACTGGAGTGATGAGTACTCCAGTCATACACATAGAGATCACCAGCCTATTGAAGGAACTTAGAGGGTGTTTAAACTGGAATAACTTAAGGGAAGTTCATCATCATTGGTACTGAAGCCATCGGGCCTAGGCCATACCACTCTGCATGTTTGACACCATCACACTTGTATTAGGAGTTTTACGGATGTTTATTTTAGGACTCACTGTGTGCTCAAACTTGTGCTAGGCACTAATAAAAATCAAGATGGCTCCTGTTTTAGGGACTTCTCTAACTGGAGAGTCTACAAGTTCCACAGCAATCAAAGCCGTGTGTATTTATGACCCCAAATGAGCGCATGGCTTATCAATATTACAGAATTGAGTGTTTAAGGTTTCTCGGGGAAGTTTAGGTATGAACAGTCTGACTATCAGGCTTTGATATTATTAAGGCAAACTTTGACCCTTTATTGCTGTTGAGAAAACAAAGTGTTTTGTGTGCAATGTTACGCATTTAAAGTCCTATAGTTCTTTTTTAGCATTTTTTATTTTGTCAGCATTCCAACCCCAGGTTATATTTTGATTGGCATACAATTTATCTTTGTTTGCTACTCAGGTTCGGAATTATACAGAGTGTGCCTGTGTCCAAAGCCGACAAGTGATCACCCCGCCCACAGTGGGACAGCGCAGCCAGCTCCGTGTAGTCATTGTGAAAACCTATCTCAATGAGAATGGCTATGCTATATCTGGGAAGTGTAAACGTACCTGCAATACCCTCATCCCCTTCTTGGTCTTCCTTTTCATAGTTACCTTCATCACAGCCTGTGCCCAACCATCAGCCATTATAGTGACACTCAGGTAAGAACAGCACCCAACAAATGCTGCAAAGAGCATATTGCAGGAGGACCAAAGCTAAGCAAACTGGGGACAGTGAGAGTAGTATGCAGGAGAACTCCCCATATTTCCAACTGGGTTTAAGGGAGAGCTTTTACATCAGAGAGAAAAAGATGGCTGAAACATTGCCTATTTTAGGATTTCCTTTTTCAGCTGGGCTCTATTACTGTTATTTATCAAACTTTCTTCCCAGTGCTTTTAGTGTCTGAAGTCTTTGTGCTATGAGGTTAGACGTCATGAATTGAAAGCCATCTCTATTTTAGCTCCAAGAAGCCAGACCCTTTTGGAGGGTGGAAATAGTTTGGCAAAGTGGCTAGATTATGAAAATTGCAGAGGTATTATCTCCAGCCTCATGGAGAGTTAATACTACACCTCTGGGATCAATGAGGAATTATGCTGGGTTTGCATTTCAAAATGCTGAGTTCATTAATTTTATTATTGTATAAAGTCCTGGAGCTGAATCAAGGACAGGATAGACTTGGAAATGTGAGCTTCCAGTTGGTCAGACTGAGCTTTTATTGCTGCATTGCAGATCCTGGTTGTCTTTTTTTTTTTTTTTTTTCTAGGAGAGGACATGGAAGTTACTTTGTTCTGTTGCATTCAGATCTATTTGTTATTTCTTGCATTGAAGGCTGTGGCGGGCAGAGTAGGAGAGGGTACTTCAGTAAAGCCTGGAGATCGAGCACCCTGTGGGTTAGAGGGGAGCAGGGATGTGGTGCGATGAAAACATGAGGAAGGGAGTCAGTCCTTGTTCTTCTTTCTGGTTTTTCTAAGGTCACAATGCCAGGTACTTGGCCAGAAGCACTGTGTTCACTGCAAGTGGGTAGCCTGTAAACACTCCCCTCTCCCCACACACACTGGCTTCTTTCTCTTTGGATGCTTAGATGGACATTTCTGAATAGAAGGAAGCAGGGCGTGGAAGGCCTACTGATTTATTCACTTTCAGTAGATGTTGATGGAGTAGTCATGTGTGCAGAGCTGGCGAACTGCTAGAGACATAGAGAATATGAGGAAAAGACGGGAAGGGCTCTAGGCATGGAAAAATTTCCCATTTCACGCCTAGATCCTCTGTGGATAAGATAAAGCATAAAGTACTTCATCATCTAGAAATTGCATAGCCCATTAGTAAATTCACTGATCCAAAACTCTTTTCCACTGTAATTCTATATAAGGTCACCTCACCTTAAAAATGTTCAAAAGTGTAAAGAGTGACATTTTATGGGTCAACTTCTAACACCACATCTCTGAAAAGGGGTCTTTTAGTCTCTGTTAATACCAAAATCAATAGGTTCCATTCTTCCTAACACATGGGAGTTACTTAGAACATCAACTTTAGGTGGATGGATACAAGATTAACTAAAAAAAAAAAATCTGAAGCCCTCCTATATACCGATGACACATTGGTGGAGAAAGAAATCAGAGAAACATCACCCTTTACAATTGCCACAAACAACATAAAATACCTTGGAGTAACACTAACCAAAAAAGACCTGTACCATAGAATTTTGAGTCTTTAAAGAAAGAAATTAAAGAAGATACCAGAAAATGGTATCTTGGATAGGTAGGATCAACATAGTAAAAATGGCAATCTTGCCAAAAGCAATCCACAGATTCAATGCAATCCCCATCAAAATCCCAGCACAATTATTCACAGACCTTGAAAGAACAATTCTCAACTTTATATGGAGAAACAAAAGACCCAGGATAGCCAAAACAGTTCTGTACAATAAAGGAACTTCTGGAGGCATACCATCCCTGACTTCAAGCTCTATTACAGAGCTATAGTCCTGAAAACAGCTTG